TGACCAGCCCGGCCCGCTCCAGCCACGTACGACCATCCCCCGGTCCCGCCCCTGTGACACCATGACCAGCCCGGCCCGCTCCAGCGACGCTACCCACCCCCCGGTCCGCCCCTGTGACACCATGACCACGCCCGGCCGCTCCAACGACTGCTATGACCATGCCCCAGCCCACCCCAGCAACGCTATGACCATGTCCCGGCCTCGCCCCAGCAACTCTATGACCATGCCGGCCTCGCACCAGCGACACGACACCATGACCAGGCATAGCCCCACCCCAGCGACGCTATGACCATGCCCAGCCCGCCGTGAATTTTTTTTTTCCTACAGGTTATATCCATTGCATCCATTATATCCATCCGGAAAGTTAAACACGCCTTGTTGTTATTATAGCCATGTCGAATGACAGTAATTACATGTTATGACAATATTGTAGGAACATAAAATGGATAAAAATTACTAAACATGTGAAATTTTTTATTTCTATGTAAAGAGTCATCAATAACACCAAGTCGTGTTTTACTTTCCGAACATCCCTAGCAACCTCGCTAGTTCTTTGCTATGTTTGCATTGCTAAGCCAAAATAGAATGGCTGTTCAAAAAGGCCATTGCCCTTATGTTTCGGTTCACAGTTGTTGATTTCACGGTGTAACTTTCTAAAACCACATTGTACGATTTGGACCGATATCTCCCGATTTTGTCATTTTTGTGAGACAACGATTGACACGGTAAAGTTTAATGATTAAGAAGACTGAGCCTCAAGTTTATCGAGGTAAACACCAATAAATCATAGGTAGATAAGGCCTACTAAATGCTGAATTTTGCCGGTTTCAGGTGTCTCACTCTATTGATACACTCCTGATATAACGTGTTAGGAAAAAAATATTCGCGCCCTGCCCAGTACGCAATGACACGCCCGGCCTCGGCCCGGCGACACCATGACCCGCCCCGGCCTGCCCAGTTATGCCACTGCACATCGCTGTGCCCCCACCCTGTGACACCATGACCATGCCCCAACGATGCTACGACCGATGGCGGCCCCGCCCTCACTCACCTGCAGTGCACGACGGGTCGGCCTTCGACCATGCGATGCGGGTTCTGAGCGCACCGTTCATGACGAATAAGTCACGAGCGCTCGGAGCTGACCTCGTCCCGAGCACCCGCGTGGTCACGGCCATGAGAGTGTACTGATCCTGCAGGATGTGCCGCCTCGCTCATTGTGTCTTCTGCGAGTGAAGAGAGAGAAGAGACGAGGAGGTGAGACGTGAGAAAAGAGATGGAGGTAGTGTAGGCGGGAGAGAAGACAAAGACGAAGAGTGAGAATGGAGAGAAGAGACGAGGGAGTGGAGCGCGTGAGAGAGAAGGAAACTCGAGGAGTGAGGCGGGGAGGAAGGAGCGACGAGGAGTGAGGCGAAGAGAAGAGAAAGCGAGTATGAGCGGCGGAGTAGGAAGAGACGAGGAGGCTGTAGGCGGAGAAGCAGAAGAGACGGAGGAGGGAGGCGGAGAGAGAAGAGACGAGGCAAGTGTTCTTTCTTCGGTTTCTGCAGGCGGAGAGGAAGAGGATGATGGAGTGAGGCGGGAGAGAAAAGACGGGAGATGAGGCGGGAGACGACGAAGAGACGAGGGTGCGTTCGGCAGACGAGAAGAGTGGACGAGGAGTTAGGGGCGGAGAGAGATATAAGAGGATGAGTGTGTGGAGGCGGGAGAGAAGAGCGAGGAGTGAGGCGTGAGAGAGAATGCAGACGAGGAGTGATGGCGGATGAGAGATACGTAGGCTCAACGAAGAGTGCCAGGCATGGAGAGAAGAGAGCGGAGCTGAGGCGTAGAGGAGAAGAGACGAGGCAGTGAGGCGGAGAGAGAAGAGACGGAGGAGTGAGGGGAGAGAGAAGAGACGAGGGTGAGGCGCGATGAGAGAGAGACGAGGAGCTTGAGGCGGAGATTTTCGAGAAGAGACGAGGTAGTGCAGGTGCCGGAGAGATAAGAGACGAGGGAGGCTTGAGGCGGAAGAGAGAGAGATGAGGAGTGTAGGCCAGGAGAGGTAGAAGGAGACGAGGAGCGTGAGGCGGAGAGAGAAAGACGAAGAGAATGAGGCGGGACGAGAAGAGACGACGAGTAGAGCGAGTAGAAGAGACGAGGAGTGAGGTGGCTCGAAAGTAGGTCGACTGGCGTGCTCCAAAATAGGACGTTCAAACCTCTCCCAGAGGAGTAACAACTATACGCAATTTGAAACATGTGAGTCAAACGGTTCTTAAGTTATCGTTGACCGTAGCCAAATGTTGACGGACGGACGAACGGACGGACGACGGACAACACCCCATGGCAATGGCTCATCTTGACGATGTCAAAGTGAGCTGAAAAGGCGGGCGATGCAAAAACAGGGCGAGCTAAGCAACGGTGAAGCATGCGATGCAAATTCGTTGAGATGTTGCGTGACACGTATCGTCAGCGATGTTGTAAGCCGATAAAGCAAGCGACCGCTCATGCAAGGCGACAAGCATAACTTAATGTGATAATGCTACAAAGCACAAAAAGCAACTGCTAACTTAACGCAGGTGAATGAATAAGTAGGTAATGGTGACGAAATGGGCTTCACTCCTACCTGTGGACTGATACACCCTCGACGTACACAGACATGCACACACACACACGCATGCACACGCACACGCACACGCACACCTACTACTACACATATACTACATCTCATCATTGCACAGGAGCAACAAATATAATAAATAACAAATAATTAGCTATTTAATTCACAATTAATTAATGTTTTAAAAAGCCAGCTGATAATGCTTTTAAAAACGGTAAAGGCCTCTGTGACAAAGGCACACACGCTGTCGTGCGTAACACTCAGTTCGAGAGAAACTGCTGATGTAGATGGCGCCATGTGCTCTCACCTGCCAGAAGTCAGCACACGTGTTCGGCAGTGGTCCCTGTGCTGCTATGTACCGGTTCACAACACCCGAAGTTGGGATCTCCATCTGAAAGCAAGGTCGTGCATGTACGTGCCGATTCGAATGACATACACATGACACTGAGGCAATGATACGCATGCAACACACCCAGGTAATGATGTAATTATACACACACACCTCACACCTGCATCTCACACAGCCTCTACTACATGTTGATTGTTATGGATCAATAACTAGCTGGTTGGTGTACTCACTATATCTTATACTAATTAGTGGTATACTTACTAGCTACTAACAAAGTGTTCAATTTCATAATTATTACACTAACAGAATTTGTTATAGAAAGTGTTACACATGCAAAAGTTTGAAGCTATACTAAAGAAGTGTTGCATTGAAAACTATTTAATATTAAATCTGTCTTTCTAGTTTTAATTTCTATGCAAAATGATAGATATTGGAGAAACTAGTCTGTGACATGCGCACACACACACGCACACGCACACGCACACACAGACACACATGCGCATGCGCACGCACACGCGCACGCGCACGCGCACGCACACGCGCACGCACACGCACACACACACACACACAGATACAGATACAGACACACGCCCGCACGCATGCATGCATGCACGCATACACACACGCACGTGCATACGCACGCACGCACGTGCACACACACACGCACGTGCATACGCACGCACGCACGCACGTGCACACACACACGCACACACCTTGTAACAACAAATGTGGTAAACACAATAATGGCAACTCACATTTACAAAGTTAGCGTTGATGTAGTTTCCGGTCGGACATTCCTGTATCTTCACCCGCGTCTGGTCATCTGAGGAACATACATTGCGGTAAATGTCAGTGGAAAATATCAGAAAATATCACCCTAATGCCAACAGCCAACACCAACAGCAACCGGCATAAACAATAGCAGTAGAATCCATAGAGGAGCATGCTCAGACAAAAAAGAAAACTAAGTTACCGAGCAGGTGCTGCTCCACGATTGCATTCAAAAGATCGGATGCACATAAAAGCACCAATATCGCGTTTCAACGATCGACAGATGGGCGTACTTACACGGAGACACGTCGCGGTATCTGTTCTTCGAGAGGTTGCTTGAAGCCCTCGCATCGCTCATCGTCATGGCAACGTTGCGTCGGTAGAGTTGCTGCGAGGCGAGAGGACGGTTAGAACTACACTCGCAAAACACACGTCACTCGCTGCTACCTGCATGCTTGAGCTCTCACATCACCGTCACATAGCATGACAATGAGACGCATGCTGCTCACGATTACCACCCTTCTTATATTAAATAACTATTTATTTGAACTTTTTAAAAACTTCTTTCTGAGACTAGCGTCTCAAATCAAAGTGCCCTTGCACGTGACTTCATCTCAACACACCTGCCTGAAATCGCAGCGTGCGTGCTTACCTATGAGAACCAACCTCCTGATACTAGCAATGCCCCCATGACCAGCAGCATCAAACGAGCTACAATAAATATCCAGCAACACACTAGAGCACAGTGGTTCTAAACCTTTTTTGAGTCATGAACCCCTTTGAGAATCTGGTGAAAGCTACGGACCCCTCCCCAGAAAAATGCACATAAGCACATAAACACCAAATTTTGCATGTGCCTGGTTCACGGACCCCCTGAAGCCCACCCACAGACCCCTTTGGGACCACAGGTTAAGAACCCCTGCACTAGACCCTAATAAAGGCTCATGCACGAGACCACGTGGCGTTTCGTCCTGCATCATGAAGTGTGTTTGTGCAAAGCTACCCGTTGCGTAGCCGCAGACTCACCACTACACATGATGGTAGTGTTGCTGCACGGTGTCGTGCAGGCGATCACGAGCAGGGACAGCAGCGTTGCAAGCAGTTGTAGTCACACACAAGCCCCTGATAGAGAGGATAGTATTGCTACATAGATCGCAGTGTAGAGTGCATGTCTACGTATGGGCATGTGTGCGTACATGCCGGTGTGTGCGTGCGCGTGTCTGAGCGAGAGTGCGTGCGTCTGAGCGTGAGTGCGTGCGCGTGTCTGAGCGTGAGTGCGTGCGCGTGTCTGAGGGA